TTTTTTTTTTTTTTTTTTTGGGCCCCATAACTCATCTCTGAGGCAGAGCCTTGCTTTCTCACGTGAAAGAAGTGCTATTCAAATCAATAGCACTACTCAGAAATATTGTCAGGTAAGATTTAACCTGGCAGGAGAAAATACCACTTTGGCATAAAGATATTAAAGCATTTTACCAAGTCCTCCTAAGCCCGTTGGTCCGATCAGCTGCATGAGCTGGTTATGGCTCATGTTTCCAAGAAGGCTTTGCAAGCCACCCTCACCTAAAAACAAAAACATTCTGAAACACAACATATTCACATAGGTTTTTTTTCACAGCACTCCAGCTCAAACAGCAGGAGATTAATTGGCATCACATTCTGTATGGAAAAAACAGTTGCAAGTGTTTACTGATTCACGATGCTCATAAAAGATAAATGCAACTTGGCTTCATAAAAGGTAAGACTCCAGAGAATCTACTGAAAATATACTTCATCCGGCAGTCTTAGCTTTCAGTCTGCACCTATTAGTACAGCACAGTTTATCTTGCTAAAGGCATGTTTATACTTTTCTGGTATTAACACTGTCCCCAACTCACCCTCCAAAGTCATCAGGAATTTCTCCCTAGGGAACTACAAGTGCTCATTCTAACAAAAGGCCTCTCATGTGAAGGAGCAGAGAATGGACTTTACCTCCTAATGCTGAGAGCTCGTGGCCTCCGCTCGCATTTCCACCCAAAGCACCAGGCATTGGGGGGTTGTTGAGATACTCATTCACTTTACGGCAATGTTCTTCATCCTTGTCTGTCTTCGGCTCCTGCAAGAAAGTTCTTCTTGGTACAAGGAGAACTGCAAGTCATTTATTCCAACACTTTTCTTATTTGCTTCCCACAAACCTGCATCCAGAAGAAGAGTCGTTTTGATCCTGCCTTGAACTTCAATACATACACACGCCCAGTAGTACACTGAGGAACCCTTTTGAATTCACAATCATCAGGAAAAATAATCAAATCCTGGAAAACATGGCAGTAGGAACAGATATTTCAGGAAATGCGTGAACATTACTGTTAGACTCCCAAAGACCTCTGACCCCCTCCCAACCATCTGTTCCAAAGGTGATTTTAGAAGGGTAAGTCTGTTGAGTCATTGTAGCATTCACATTCTAAACCATCTCAGAGCTCTTCCAGCAGGGCAGGAAACGAGACCAAGGTGACACAGCGCCTCAACACCTCAGCACCGAAACACAAAGCCATACTCACATCTTCAACATTGCCCGAGGTCCTGTCCTTCCAGCAGAAATGGATGAGGGAATCATCGGTCTGCTGGATGTAAACGAGGCCTTTCCTCTTGTCCGGGGTCACAGTGCTGCCCTTCAGGGACATCTTTCCTGCCCGGAATTCTACCAGGTATTTACTCGAAGAGCCACGGGAGCCTGGCACCAGGCTCGGAAAGAGCGCGCCTGAAGACATCCTAGGGACAGAAGGATGGGCTGACACGATGAGAAAGCTCTCATGTGCGCTGTTCTCAGCGTGACACCACACAACGAGGCCCTCAACTCCACAACCAAGGGCGCTGCGTTAAAACTAAACACAGAGCGGAGCGAAAGCAGGATGCTGCGTGCGGCCCCGTTCTCTACACGGAGCGCAGCTGCCGAACGAACTACATGCAAAGAGATCACCTCCCTGCAGTTTCCCTCCTGGGCTGACACCACGGCTCGGAAAGGCCGCGCTGGGCCGAGCAGCCCTCACCCGGCCGGCCCTGCCCCGCGCCCTGAGCCCGGCCCGGCCGCCTTCCCAACGGCAGACCGCCATCCGCAGCCGGTTCCGTGAGGCCGCCGGTTGCGGCTCCCCTCTGAGCCCGCCCCGCCTCCTGGGCCGCCCAGCTGCCCCCGCAAAGCACAGCAGCCCTGCACGGAACAGCGTGCCAGCCCAGACCTGACCCGGACCCCGTCCTCCCCCCGCCGGTACCTGCCGCCTCGCCGCCCGCAGGCCCTGCGCCTCTCCCGCTTCCTGCCCCGCGCCCCGGAAGTCCGCCCGCCGCTGGGCGGGGCGAGCGCCCCCTCGGCCCTCCGCGATTGGACGACGCCGTTGTCATTCAGCGGCAGAGCCCGCCCCCTCGCCCTGCTGTGTCATCACGGCGGAAAGATGGCGGCGCCCCCATCCCCCCTCCGCCAAGCAGAGGTCGCGACCCCCTCTCTTCTTCAAAACGAGCTTTATTCGGATTTACAGCTTTACAGTGTAACATTGACGTCCGCAGACCTGTACAGACTTCTCTAAAAAGCCAAAGACGGTTGTTAATAGAGACGGGCATCGACAGTTATTAAATATTACAAAAATAAACGCATTTCACTCAGCGCTTCCACAGGGCCGGCCCTCATCCAACGGCCGGGCCTTCCCCCCCTTCCTCCCTTCCCGCTCAGATGCACCACACGAGCAGAGATGGCGCAGGGCAGAGCCGCGCTGAACCCTTTGGTGACCATTTCGGGGACAGCTGTGGAGATGCCGGGAGGGCTTCAGCCAAACCATTTCCACCGCTTGGTTTCAATTCACTGAGAAACGATTTTTAGTCATCACACAGCTGCACATGTAGCCAATTTAGGTGTTTTTTGTTTGTTTGTTTTAATCTGATCAATTCAGGGCATATTCCTGTCCTCGTCAATCAGGTACCAGCCATCCCACAAGCACCACTGAGGCAGCTGCTCCCAGCGCTCAGGCACCGCCACACAAAGCACCCAGTGCCCACACAACGCGCTCCCACAGAGCTGCCAGCAGCCACTCCATCCCTGCACAAAGGCATCACTTTCACCTTACGGCCCTCCCTTCCCCCCCCCAGCACTCAGAGCTCAGATTTAAATCACTTTTTGCACAACAAACATCGTGGTGACCGTAAGTGACCTGGCCATCTCCACCCGTGTCCTCACACAGCTGCCCTTACCTCCCTGTACACAAACCTCTCTCACCACCTAGAGGCCCAAAGGGAATTAAGCATTTATTATAATTTTCTTTCTAGATGGTTTCTCTACAGTATTAACATATACTAACACAGTTATCTTATATACAGTGCTTAATCAAGTTATAAAAGTGACATTCTTTTAAAAGGTGCAAAGTTAATGTTTTGACATGTAAACTACTGAGGCGAGATCTGCATTTAAAATATATTTTTTTTCACTTTCAGAGCGATCACAATGTGCCGTCGGGCACCCCGTGGCTCGCCAGGCAGAGACTTTTCAGCAGCAATGAGAAAATATTTTGTAAATGTTTTCAGTGAAGAATAATAAATTAAAAGAACAGAGTCGGAGCCCATTCGAGATTTCCCTAAAAACATTACACTAAAGAGAAGGGAGAATGGGCTAAAGATGTAACTCTCATTTTAGAAAACTTGCCAATTTATTTTTAAATTACATGAAATTCCTAAACATAAGTTTCAAACAAACATGGTATAATTCTGTTTTTGCATAATGAAAAGGGTGTTTAAATTAAAATTCTAATTCAAGAGAAGAGAGATGCTAACCTGTCCATTCCTTCTTAAATACTGAATATTTACCAATTACTCTGCATTTTTTCCATTCTATTCATATGCTTTTAAAGAGCACTTGACTCCAACCTTAAATGTATAATTTAGCTTAAGCAAGTTTTAATCTCCTGTGAGATGTTAAACTGGCTTAGCCTGTGAATCTTTTCAATCCTCATCCAACAAGATGGTTCCACAGCAGAAAATATGCAAGGAACATTCCAGTGCCTGGAACAGTAATTCAAGTTGATTTTTACAAAAAGACTCAGAAGTATTTTTATGCTATCCCATACTGATCAGCAAGGTCTTTTTAAAAGTCAAGCATCTGAATGTTTATTAGAAACAAAATATAAATTTGTTCTCTGAGCCATACTACCACATTTAGTTTGTGTGTAAAGAAAATCAGCAAAGTATGATTTCTGGCAACAGATTAACGTTGCCATGAGCACATTTCAGGTTAGGCCTTTTTACTGAATTTTAACCATTTGTCTCAGTTTTCCAATGAAGACGACAACTAAATCCCCCAAATTAAAGTTAGTCCAATCATGTGATGCATAATTTGATACAAAAACATTTCTCCATGAGTATGTTAACCTTTTGCCTTTTTATCCTATCACTGGGATAGAAGCACAATCTGCTCTTCAGAGGAAACCATGAATGTGTTTAGGCATCAGTTGGATCAATTCTTCCACAAATTCCTCAAGGTGTCACGCTGGTTAGCACCAGTGATCTCTGAATCACTGTAAGCCTAAATGCAATGTAGCCATTTTCCTTTTTTGCCTAGTTACTCAAAAGTTTTCATTAAAAAAAAAAAAAAAAACACCTTAGGATTAGTTTTAATTACTAGACCTAATTTTTCAAGACTCCCTTCCTCTCTCCTCACCAGAAGTGTATCACTTTGAAAAAAATTAATATATCAGTTCAGTAATTGATCTGTAGTTCAATTTCCATTATATGGCTTTGACGTTTCCATATGGAACAAAAAAATTCCACTTTTATGACATCACATGCTCACAGAAAACATGTAATAGGTAACTATGCCACAGCTTGAAATTGATTCTGCTCTTTTACAACATACAAAACAGACATGACCTAATAATGAAAAACATGCAAACAAAAACATCCCAGAAATATGAGATCTGTGTGGATATACATACCAAGTGCTTCCAAATAAAAGTTTAGTCTAGAAGCATATTTAGTGCCAAAGCTGCCAGAAGTAGTGCAGAAGATCTAAGCCTCCAAGTGGTAGCAAGCAATATATTTTACATTGTAACCACCTCTGCATTCCTGCAATTGCTCCTGAAGTTTCTCCTACTTTAAGAGCAGCATCTGACTTCAGAAGAAGCACGCATTGTTTAATGCACCTTGCTCTTAACGTATGTTTTATGTAATTTTATCACAGGTATATAGTTTAATGCTCACAGTGACCAGAAATTGTGAAGACTTTGTAACAGACGACTACAGTTTGAGAAGCTAAAGTTGTTTTTTTGTTTCTCAATGTCTTTGAATTATTGAATCATATTGAAGAGAGAGGGGCCAGGAGCTCCAGTCCCCACATAGTGCTACATACTGTATGAAAGTTTCACATGCATCTCTTCATGGGAAATAGCCACAGTACTAGATTTTATCATGTTCGTACCTTATGAACTTTTCATCCCTGCTCCAAGTTCTGAAAACTTAGATTCCTCACTACTCTAAGATGGTATTATCTCTATTTTCTTAAAGTTACATAGTTTTCAAGGATGTTATGAGCTCTACCAGATACAGCATACCTTCCTGACAAAAACTAGGAAAAAAAATGGAGATCCAAAAGTCCCTTTAAAAATTAGTGAAAATATGATGATTTCAGATGTAGCTTTATGAAAAGAATCCAACAGTGTTTAAATATTTGGCAATCCAACATTAGTGATCATTAAATCCTTGATTGTTGACTGATAGATGTTTTGTTAGGATTTACTTAGAAAAGCTGAATTTTGTTATTCACAAAACCAGACTAACTGGCTTACAATGAAATCTAGTAACTAGATGTCCAGATGAGATGAGCTATTGGTTCCATTATTTCAATATATATCCGGACAGTCTGAGAAATTTCTATCAAAATAGCCACCTGAGTACAGCCAATCTGAAGTCCCAGTGTATGGGTTAGTGCCTTGATGAAACCACCTGGAGAAAAAAAAAGAAAAGAATCAGACAGTTAGGAGGGTGAACAAAAAACCCAGAGCTTTGCTTCTTTCCCAAGAACATTATTGAAAGACACTGATATTTCTTACTGGAGGGGGAGAGCATCTGCCAGTATTTTGAGCATGAAAAACAATGCAGTCAGCTTCCTGCATAGCTGTCACTGTCTTACCATTCATTCTTTTTTGCATGAAGTCAGGAAGGAGTATGAAATGGATTTTCAAATTGCTGTCTTACTCCAAATAAAAATAGCACTGATACTTTTGATCATATATTGATAATATACAATTTTATTTTTATTTTTTTTTTTACTTTATAAGAGTTTTTAAAAGCAGTTTCTTGGACCATCCAAGAAGTCCTAGAAGTTTGAAAGTAAAAGGCCTCAAAGGGCCACAACATGCTACTCAACTGCCAAAAGTTAGACAGGAATTAGTTATGGGAGGAGATGGGACTTAATGTTTTATTCAGTCCACAAAAAAGATGAGTTCTGAGAGCTTAAAACAAAATCAAAAGAACAGCATTACCAGTTATTTATGACAGGTTTCAGCATTTATTATAAAATAATTCATCTAGCACAAAATTACCAACAATTTGGTTTTCCAGCTACATTATTTAAGAGTTGACCAGCAAATTACTACAAAATAATACAAATTGTGCTGTCATGCAGGAAATCAAACGCACGTTGTCTTCACTAAAAGCATTTCAGGCAGTAAAACAGCAGCATTCAAACATTACATAAATGCCCAGCTTCCTGCTCCTTACCTTGTCTGCCACTCCACTTCGTCTTTCGCACGCTCCTTGCGAGCAGCTCTTTGTTTCTCCTCTAGTCTCTCTTTTTCTTTACTAGCCACATCTAGCAAATATTTCAATGAGAATAGTTACTTAGCAAAATGGAAATAAAAATGCAGAAAACAAGGAAAAGACTGCAAAGAAATAAAACATAGTTCATTCAAATGAGAGAAAGTGCTGGACACAATCTACTCAACAATGACAACTGCAGGTGACAGAACTAGAATTGTCATATCAGAAATGTTGTGACTACAAATAGAGTACGTGGTAAAATTACAGAGTATTATCCAACCAGACAGTGGAAAAGAATTTAGATTGAGTATAACTGTGTGGTTTTTTTCCCCCCCACTATCTGATAAACACCAGAGCAAGAGAAGATGTTTGCTGGGGGATGCTGGCAGACATGCAATGTCCTCCACCACAAGATAGCAGTCTTGAGATCCACCTGGGACATACTTGCTCTCCCAGCCTACTCAAGGAGAAAACAGCCATTATACTGTACAAAAGCATGATCATGATGAAATGATGTTAATGCTGCATTGAGAATAAGAAACTGAAGATATCACTCCGATAGCAAACAACCCCCATTCAGTTATCCCTCTCAGATTTTACTAATGTGAAAACATTTTCTTCAAACACATACCCATGTTTCCATTTTCCATGTTTCTGATATCCGGACGTAGCCGACAGTCAGTGGGAGCTAATATTGCTTCCATGCCCTTCTCTAGCTCATTGAGACTCACAGCAAAACTGGTGAAATTGTACATCTGAAAGGCAAATTGTAGACAATACATATGTTATTTTGGCAAAGCAGCAATAGGTTACCTACACTGAATGGATACAGCAAAGTTTCCAAGAGAAATTACTGAGTCAAACCCTATTCCATTGGCCACCTTGAAAGCAAGACAGGTTCATTCCAAACTGACATTTTTTTTTTTTTTTTAAGAGGGGAAGGAGGAGCAGTATGGAGATCACAGTCTTTGCTTCAGAAAATAGAAACGTATTTCCTCTATATCTGATATTAAACACCATGATTTTTCTTTATAAAGAAAAAAGTAAACACATCTAAAACTAAGAAAACAAGTCATTTGTCCCAGGAAAGTATGCATGCTTTCATTCATTAATTTCAGAGAACATTAACTTAGGTTAATATCCAGATGCCCAGTTACTGCATTTTTGGAAGCCTGCCTTCCAACAGCAGGGTTACCAGTGGGGAACACACATCCATATTTCAGCCACTGCTCGCACAAAGATCTCACAGGTCACACAATGAAGCAGCTGCACTCAGATCACACATTCTACCAACTCTGCTGTTTTCAGCATAGGAATGAAGCAACTTGCTGCAGTTTAATTTTGCTGCTGCTGCAGCAAGAACTGCTAGAACCTGCCAAGAAGCACACTAAGGACAGACACTTTCAAAAGGGCTTCCCTTAAACATTACTCATGTTACCTGGGATGAGTCACTAGTGACAGGAACAAACACATTGATTGAAACAGTTACCTGTGATGAGTTGGGTGGTCTACAATTTATTCTCCAAAGCAATTTACTGCCTGGTATAAACTGCACGGTGTCTTGAACTTCTGGCATATCGTCAGCCTCATCGTTTTCTGATTTTATAACATCCTCACTCTGAAACAAAGATAGCACCATTACTTCCTCAGGTTCAAATGAGTCAAGACTGCAGTTTAAACTAGTTTCTACAATGGCAGAAGAAAGATAAATAGCACATGCTCGCCTTTTGGATACCGATTGCTTTGTCACTTGCAGAAGTACCTTGTTTATTTAATTAATGAGGAATTAATTAGTGTATGAGTTCATCAATTTTATTTCAACTAAAACATGCCACCTTTTCACATTAAAAGTCAAGCTCCACATCAGTTTATATACATTAATGCACATGCTCTCTAAGTTGCAATAAGAATTCAACAACTACTCTTACAAGAAACTAATATTTCCTATTCCCAGAGAAGGCTCTGGGCAGCATTCCCATTCTCAATGCTATGGTATTGTTAGCAGTGGCAATCTCATAGAACTGTGCTATGATTTCTGAATTCTACTTGAGGGTGGAAAACAGGATGAAGATTTTTATTTAATCACCTCACTATTTTTATTCCACCATTCATAGACCTCAGTCACTTTTGTTCTGCCTATCTGTTTTTGGAAGAAAATAAAATCTTGGTTCTGCAAGCAGTTAGAGGAAAGAAAGAGGCTGCACACAGCACAAACATAGTAGAAAACAACATCTTCCTCATACAGCTGAAAGGCACAGCACATACATATCAAACATTATCTCTACACAGGATCAGGCCAAACAACACCAACTATAGTGTTTGATCCACTTGAACTGCACAGACCACAGATCCCTTGACTGCTTCCCTTGACTACCTGAAGACCTGCTTTCTGCATGCTTGGTCCCTATTATCAGCCTGAACCACAGGAGAATCTGTCTCAGAACACAGCTGCATTGTAAAAGTTCAGAGGATTTCAACATGAGAAATCACCTGAAAGCACAGCCATCAGAATGGAAGAGGCAATATCATTCTACTGTTAGAATGTCACAGTTCTCCTCTCCTATTTTCCTTCTGCCTCCTCTGAGGTGCGTCATTTGTTCTCTTCAAAACATTTCCTCCTCTAAATATAAATTCCACGGGAAGGAAGGAAGGAGTTGACTCCTTCAAAAAACAAAATCTTATTATTTAAAAATAAGTCAAAATACAAGCCTGCACCATGACAGAATCCAGAGGCAAAAAACAAGGCCTACTGTTGCTCTGGAGTCCTGTCATGCGAGTACTTAAAAGAAAGACTGAGTCTCCCAGGCAGAAGCTAATCACTTTTAACTTTAGCTCATCATTTTCATTTTGTACAAGCAACCAGAGTCCACAAGACTTCTGTTGATACTGGAAAACACAACAGTCCTCTGCATTGTACAACATTTTGCATTTTCCATTTAACCCTGAGGCTCTGGCAGTGACTGATCCAGACACATGATGAAAAAATCCACAAACTTCCAGACCCTTCTGCTTTAAAGGCTGTCTGCACCAGAAATTCGAAAAGGCTGCATCACCCAAAAAGGCATAAATGACTTAAACATGGTACTTAGGGAATTTTCTTTTTAAATGCCTACATTCAGATATTTTCACATCTAGAAGCAAGTATAGCCACTTTCTCTGTTGAAGAAAAGGGAGCTGATATATGACGACAACTCTGACAAGTCTCTAGCAATCACAATTTCTGTAAGTTCTCAAATACCAGCAGCTCTCATTAAAGCCAACATCATTTCAAAGCACAACGCCTTCTCATGAAGCAGCATCCCTCAGACCCCTACCAAAAGATGAACAATTATAACCCTCCACGTACCAGCACCTGACCATTTCTGAAAAGAAGATTATTTCCTCTCATTTTATGTATTTCGATATTTTCACTCCCTGTAGGATCCTAAATCTTACCGGCTTTAATTTCTTTTGCTCACCACCTCTCTTCTCATTCTTTTTGTAAGTCTCATACGTAGTGGGATCAGTGCACCACAAGCATTCTGTCCACTTGCCATAGATGACACACAGCTTCTTTCTGCTGCAGAGAGAGCAAAGGAGAGTTAGATTTGCTTCCCATAAGGCCTTCTAAGCCAAGTCATACAGATCCTAGTCTGCATTAAGTACACAGCTTCCTACCTTGTTGTCTTTTATTTCTTTGCAGATTTCTCAGAATCCAGATAATAGATTAATGCAAAGAAAATGATTCACCTTCAACTAGTCTTTTTGGTATTCAGTCCTGCAGAACACATTCTCATGACTTAGTCACATACCTTTTGCTATTGTTGAAATGAGTGTGGGCGCAGCGAAGCCAGCAGCTTACAATAAAGACCCCAAGAGTCACATAACAGCCTTGGGCTTGATTAAATACTTTCAATAACTTTATTCTCATTATTTTAAGCTGAAGACTGGAATTGCAACTGTGCAACAGTGAAATCAGTTTCAACTACTCTGTGCTTTCCCTGAATACCTTTATTCCAAGTGGCCAGACTGGAGAGTTTCCTAATACTGCTGGAAATCCTCATCCCAACTAAGGGATTTAATACCAACACTGAGAATGCAAGTGGTTATAAACTGCATTACTAATACTTTGCACTCACATCAGTCATGGTCACCATATCAGCACTAAAGCAAAATCACAGTGCACAGAAACAGAGAGGCCAACAGTCATAGCACTTACTTTTTGTCCTGGATGTATCCCTCTACTCTGTGAAGCTCTTTTCCAAACAGCCCACACGGTTTAAAATTAAGAACACATTTATCTCCAGTACTGCAGAGGAAATTTCAAGTACACAATTCAGGAAGAGAGCTCCTAAACACATTAATAAGATCACTTCCCCCTACCCCCCCTTACTTGCACTTTATTTTAGCTTTTTACGTGTAAGTAATAAGAGGTAATTATTGATATCATAATTTTTCTTTAACTATGGTTTATTATCTGAGTGAGTTATCACAGTGAGGTATGTGGCCAAGTTTCTATATTAAGCACAAAGCACACAGAGACCATCTTGAATTGCAGGTGTGAATTTAAGAGACAATTGTAGATTTGATGAGATGGAAGTACCAGCACAGCAGCCTGTTGGAATAAAACTTCAATCTATTCACAAAAAAAACCACAGGTGCTGTATTACAGGTGCTGCATTCCTCTGTAATAAAGAAGTTTTCCCAAAAAATCTCCTATTTTACAGAAGATTATTCTCTCCTTCATTTTATGTGAAGTAAAAAGCATTTTTATAGGCAGTTGGCAGAGCAATTGACATGCTCTATGTTCACGTTATACTATTATTCTACAGTCATTTATCTGTGCTGTACTCTTAATTGAGTACATTTTCTATTATCAAAATTAAAAGAGCCAAATGAAAGTCAAGCTGATGGAGGCCTCCAGCAATTATGCCATTTAATGGTTCTGGAGTTATATTTAATTTCTGTTCTCTGTCAATAAGGCTGAATTTGAATAGGTAACTCACAAATGTAAAACCTTTGTAGCCCATAAGCCATCTATCTATTCATTTGCCTTTTCATTTACATTATTATGATACTACGCTCAGCCCAATGAATAGTTTGCATCTGTCAGAAAATGGGGGAAAAAAACCACTTTGGGCCTACAGATACTGAAGGTGTGTATCCCAGGAAAGTATCTGCTTTGTAACACAAGTGAAAAGGCCCAGCACCAGGCCCCATCATTAGCATTACCTGTGATTCACGATTTCTACCGTTCCGTATTGTTCTAGCCACAGTTTACCAATAATTACATTATGTACACAACAGGTTGGATTTGTCCATGTGTAAGCTTCACTATGTCTGTAAAGAAAACAGAAAAATAAATCCGTTTCTTGAGCTTGCAGTGGAATGTAAGCCTGTTGTAACTCTATTTGCAGCAGGGCAAAATATTTACCGCTCCCATGAACAGCCAGCAGCTAACTTCAAAACAGAGAAGAAACAGACTTTTCTTTGTAAGCCAACGACATGCTGCATGTAAACATGAGTGCAAGTTAACAATGCAATATGCCCTTTCCTTTTCTCTTATTAAAGAGTTGAATTAGCAAGTTTTACAGTTGCTGTGCTTTTGAATACAAATTCCAGCTCAATAATGTGAGCTTTTAAAGTTGTCTGTGATAGAAAATAGCACTCAGATGAGAACTGGACTGACAAAGCCTAACACTGCCTTCTACTCAGCTACCGCAGCAGCACTGCACACTTCTTCCTAAAGAACCTGTATCATAACCCAGAGAGTTTGGTTAGGTTTTCTTATAACTCAGCGGTCTTCTGAGCTTTCCAGCAAAAGTTAGCCCCCATCAGATTAGCAATCAATCTGGTTAGCAATCAGTCCATGTTAGAAAAGCATGCAAACTCTATTTTAATACCAAAAAAAAAAAAAAAAGCAGAAATAAGCAGCATCCTCTGTAACAAATGCCTTGGGCTTCTAGTTCCATTAAGTATGGAGCAAACAAACATACTTAATATTTCCAACTGTCAGAGGAAAAAAAACAGATCAACAAAGTCTGACAATTTTCCACAGCAAACTATGTTCAAGTGTAGTTCAGAATAATGACTACTCTTCAAGTGGGGAAAAAAAAAAAATCACCTCCCCAGCTTTAGTATATGTTTTTATTCATGAACTTATTGACAGCAAAATCCATGGAGCATAAAATATAACAGAAGACATTCGTGCCCTGTGAAGATGAATTGAGACATTTATTTGTGCTGGAAAAGTGGGGAAGAATCGTGCTTTCTAACACAGAAAACACAGTCAGAGTCAACATAAACACAGCACTTAAGGCTGATTGATGATGTTGTTCCCTAAACTTAAGTTTGGCCCAGAATAACTCTCAGACTTCTCAAACCAACAGACTGGTATGAATCACAACATTAAGGAGCTCAAAATCTGAGCTCAGCTTCTGCTGCTAACTTGATGCAAATATTTAAACCAAATGCTTTAGTCATTTACACTGCAATTTAAATCTGTACCATGATTTGATTAGGCAGAACAAGAATCCTAGTTCTACATAAAGGCTCTCTCTCCACCAACACACATTTTTTGTCAAATCTGCATTCCACACTAGTGTTCATAGTCATTTCTATATCCAGAGAAGATTTCCTCTATTTACATCAACACTTACACCCAAGACCAAGTTTTGGAAGATCAGATGCCAGCAGCTTGACAAACAAACTGTACTTTCAAAAGAAACTACAGAAAGAGTCAATGCTTGATATGGCACTCAAGTTGCCTCTTTATTAAGACCAAATGTCTGCTTTCTTTCTACATGAATGCCTATCTTCAAAAGATATTTTAAAGCAACCTCAAAGTTAGGCCTGAGGAAAGCTTTTGGAAAAGCATCTATAAGTGTTCAACTGCAGAATGCCTGGCACAAACCAGCTTGTGGACAGCCACATCATTTGAGACGTAACTGATTAGGAGTAATATGGAAAGGCATTGATGATTTCACTGGAAGCTGACAAATCCTGACAAGTTTCTTGCATTCTGCCATCACATAAAGCAGTAATTCTGAAGCAGCAGCTCTTTTCACACAAGCATGCAAGGATGAAAGGCATTTGCTTCTCATACTCACTTTAGAAGCTCCAAAGTAATCGTCCCCCGTGGCTCCGCTTCTATACTCTTTCCCCAGAATTTTAATTTGGGGTAGATTGATCCGTGAAAAATAAAGTCCTTATTGAGGCCTTCAGAATAAAATGCACTAATAGGTGGGTGGTGGCTGACTTGCTCAGATATAAACCTAAATCCTAAATCCTCCCTATCAACACAAGGAAGAGCATTAAACACTTAATCAACTTACAGGAAAAAAAAAACCAAAACATAACTTGATACTTCAATTTTTTTTGAAGGATTTTTAAATTACTCTGAACATGATACTTTCCCTTTTCTAGTCCCACGACACATTTGAAATTAATAAAATGAAAGCAATAATCTTCTGAATACTTTTTAAACATCTGCTTATACCCAGAAACAATCTCCATTGAAATACCCAAGTGACTTTCTACCTAGAAAAGCACCTGAGGAATTTGACTGGAATAACTCTTGAAAACTCTGCAATTCCTTGGGCAGCAGAAGGTCTGACTAGAAAATTTTCTTTGTAACTTATGTATCTCTCATTTCAGTAAGCTGAAAGCCTCTCAAACTAACTTACCTATCTGATAAGTTATCTGTCTATAAGAACAACACTCCTTAAAATTAGTTAATAGTCTCTGTTCAGGTCTCTCTGAACAATTCTAAGAATACCCTACATAAACACAGAAATAACACTGCTTCTACAAAAACCTCTCAAACATTTTGTATTAGTTTGGGGAAAATAATTTTAGCTAAACTCAAAAACGTACTAAACATATTTTAGTAGTCTTTTATTTACTTTGGTGAATAAACAACCAAGCTACTGCCTGCTCACACAAACAGCCTCACATCCCAATTCTATTATTACCTTGTTAATTCATAGGTTTCTCCTAACAGGGGGTTAAATGGTTTGCCAGTTCTCTCCCACTGAGAAGCTACAGCAGAAACTGCAAAAGCAGCTACAGCCTGTAAGGAAATAAGGATGCATTGTTATATTAACAGTTCATTAAAACTATGAGATATTTTTTTTTTCCTTAGTACAATATTTTATTATTCTTCCAAAAAGAAAGCTCCATATGTTGCTTAAGGCCAAAATACTGGCAAGCCATGGGATATAATATAGAAGTAGGGAAATAAAAGCAGTTAATAAGCATATCATTCCAAAAGGAGTCATTTTCTGTAGCAAATTTTGCCAGGTTATACTCTGTTCCATGCTCCTCTCTTACCTCAATAAATCACGAAGCCACTCAACAATTCATATTAATGCTTGTGACCTATTTTGGAAAGTTCAGGAGCCTTTGTGTCACCAGGACACAAAACAACTTTACTTTAAGGTGATTTAAAGCTGAGATCTCATCTTTACAACACATAAATACCAAAGAGTCAAAGCTGAAACAGTCCTGAAGAGGCTGAGAGCCTTGGGAAGGGTCAGTTGTTGTACTCGCCTACTGAAGACTTTTGTGCAAAGTATCAAGTAGGAAAGCATCACACGTAACTCATACCAACCACTATATAACAAGAAATTGCTCTAGACAGACAAACATGGGTATTCTTACAACAGCACCAGATAAAGAAATGCACTCAAAAGAAAGGTTGTATTAATATGAAAGACCCTTGAGAGAGAGAAACCACTTCTGAACTAACAAGAAGCTGATAGCTGGGACTTGCCTGCATTCTTTCCAAGGGGTCTGCATGACTACAAGCCTTATTAATGAGGTATATGTGTTCCATGTATTCAGTTATCCGTTGGAGGAAACTCAATGGCTCGTTGAAGACAATGGGCATTGTAATCTTAGACAACTCCTAGGTAACAAAAGGACAAGTTAATTTCTTAGAACACTATTTTATCAACTGAGAAAACTAAGCATTCTGAAAGTAAGCTGTGGGTTAGTTGAGTTGTCAAGTGTCTTTTCAAGAACACTACAGAACGTGAACTGCTAGAGCTGAAAGGGGGTAGAAGCACTGCAGAACTCTACTGGGGATCAGAAAGAATGAAAAGAACTTTAAAAGTTGATCCAACTAACCCAGTAAATTCAAGAAAAATGTTACCTTCTACTTGTATGTTAAAATTTCTGCAAATAGTGGAAATGATGCACCAACCAGCTCATTACAGGTATTCAGGTACCACACATTTCTTTGAAAACCTCACATATCTGTATGCATAAAATCTAACTATTCTACTGCAAGAATCACAAATTCTTTTTTAGGAGCAACAGTTATATAACAAATACTATCTGAATTGCTCTAACATATTTTAATGGCTTTATTAAAACAATCTGTTATTTGCATCAGTATGTTTCTCATTTCCCATGTGGATACAAGACACACAAAGCTCATACAGATTTCCAGCTCCCCAGGTCTTTTACTATTTGCCATCAAATCTAGATGTTTATTAAAACAGCTGCACTAATACTGAGCGCTTCCATCTTTTACATGCTTAAAATTTAGTGGAGCAAAAAATGCCATCAGATAGTTAACAGTTTCTTTCCACTGTCACAGACAGTAAGGAAAAGTCACTCCTGGCCAACCTGATTTGGTCAGGCAAATCGTTCTGATAGAATGCCATTCATCCTAACCAAAGGAGTTTTGATGGTACATTTCTCTCTCCTAGATGACATAAGCTAAGCTGGCAAAGCAACTCACTGCCATGTCTGTTGCGTTCATTAAGTACTGTGCTGGCAGATCTAGAGTAGATATGAATATCTAAAACCAACAACAAAAAAAACAATAACAAAGGAGAGAATGTTGTGTTAATCAAAGCATAATTAACTATATTGTTAATGACTTCAGCCTAGCTAGGACAGCGTTAAAAATGCCAACTCACATGCTCCAGCAGCTAAAGTGAGTAAGGCAACAGAGCTGCAGTTTAAGATTACGTTCCTTGCAGGAAAAACACAAAATGCAGCAGGTATATTCTGTATGCAAGTTTTAAGCAATACAATTGAGTCAAAGTCAGAAAACTTAGTATCAGCATATTTAATCTAGGCTAACTTACCAGTCCAATGCATTTTTTTAATATGCTCCACACACTAAAATCACTTCTAGAAAACATTGGGGCAGGTAATGATGTTCTGTAATTGAAAAAAAAAAAAAAAAAACAGCAACAAGTCTGTCACTATAAGTTCCTTAAACAAAAATATATTTTGATTTACAGGTACCAAAGTACTTAATAAAGGAAACGAAGCATTAATTTCCACTTGACATTGGAAGCAGACAAGTGAAATGTGTGTTCAGTTTCAGAGAAATAACCTCTTCCTTGGTGAGAACAGTAATACCCCCAAAAAATCATGAGCCAGCACAGTCATTTCTCATTTTCTACATAGTGCTGTGCATCTACCTGTGTCTCTTAATTCCATTTTCTTGAATCTCTGTCTCTCCATTATGCTTTCCGGTCCTATTGCTTTGGTGTGGATCTAGATCAAGCATTTCTGCAACTTTATGATTTGCTTCTGAAAACTCTCCTGAAGAATTGTCAGAATCAAAGCCTGTATGGAAAAAACACACAAAGCAAAAACTTTCTTAAGGACCTTATTATGCCACAGAGCACCACACACATTTTACAGCTCACACAGCATAAGCACACTTACACAGGGTTATTTTATTCTAAAACACATCAGAGGGAAGAACTTTTATCAAGTGACCAAATTCCCAAGAGTATTTAGAGCTAAGTGTTGCATTAGAATCAGGCATTCTCATGTTTTTTCATGCTGTCGAATATAAAACCAATTTAGAATCTTACAAGCTCTTCAATAGCTCCTAATCAGCTCCACTGCCTCTTCATTAGAGCTGTGACGTGATCACAATAATTTTGTTTAGCTACATAGTTTTCCTTAAAGACCTTAGAAAAAATTAACTTAGCCTACTCACACTATCAGATACAGAACAGGAAAAAAAAAATGCCCATTTCACACCCTAGTGGCAAACATCCGTACTACTCCAGCAACAGAAATATAGGATATTAACTTTTTTGCCATCCATGCGTGCAAACTTCACACATAAGAACCCAAACACATCAGAACAAAGTCTTCAACTGCTGAACCTGCAGTGCTGAAGCACACAAAACATACAGGCATCACTCCAGGCAAAAACAACGTGGTAAGATGACAGCATTAGGTCATACCTACTCCTCCCTTGATCTCCCTTTAAAACTACTGAAAGCCTACACTGTAAGAAAGCCTGCATGCAATTCAACCTCATCCTTTAAGAGATTAACATGAGATTAGATAAGGACAACATCACCAAAAACGGAGCAGAACAGACTTCCCTTTTGGTTCTGCAGTCAGCAGAGCCACTTAGAGGAAAGTTTTGCAAAGATTTCAATACATGTAAGGACAAACAGAAGCCTAGAAATAGTTTGAACATTCCACAGAAGTGTTAGAAAAACAAAACACTGGTGAGGGATAGGTCTAGAAAGGAGAAAAATGCCAAAATATTTTGAGGGAGATGTTTTTTTTAGACTTGGAGATTAATGAAGGATGTTTTAATTATTATTATTTTCCCATTTATGTTTGTATTCCTTTCATTCCAGTTATTACAATCTAAGCAAGCACTTTTCTGTGCTTACAGTCACTATCACAACTAGGTGCAGCCAAATTCTGAAGTCCAGCTGTGGCCCCAGGTGTTACAAAGCATGTAAATGCCCTAAGGAGTAAAGAAATTAGTTTTGAGCAAGATTATTTCAGTTTTAGAGTAAGTAAGACAATGATCTTCTGGCACTAACTTTGTTAAAAATGCAGATGTAAAGGGTGATGTCTCATATTAATCCCTCTCCTACATTTTGATGTTACAAGCGTGTAATTATAGAGCAATGATGACACCTCAGCAGGTCTTAGTGCTTACCTGGAAAATACAATAGTTATATGTAAACAGGTAATGGCAATGAAGATTAATCTGAAACACCTGCCTTCAAAGAAAAGCAACACCTGTCTATCTTCAGTCAACCCACAACAGAAGAATAGTTGTCACTTTCAAAGGGCATTTCTTATCACATATTAGCTTTTTAAGGAGCCCATTTTGGTATAAGGAGATGGAGAAAGCAAATACCTTAGAGTATAAGGAAATAGCTTTGACTAATGAAGTGGGGAAAAACATATGGGCTTGCAGGCAAACGTGCCCTCAGCCAGAAAGCTGATCAGGCCCACACAGCATATGGAACATCATCACATTTAATGGGCATTTTAATCAGTTAAAGCACCAGGCTTTCCACTATGCTTTCAATCTTCTGTAACAGCTGGCTTGTCTGCTACAAGCCCAAACAGAAGTTTTAAAAGCTGCTTCTCAATGAAATTCTAAATATTATAGTTCTGAGGAGAACTATCCAGATGATGCTCTTCACAGAGGAAATACTGACTTGGAATGTTTACTGAAGAGCTCTGTTACAGTTTTTTCTAAGTTCCAAGTCTTTCAAGCTGCCATTAAAGCCTTGAACTTGCAAAACTGAGTATCTGAGCTTCAATACAGGCCAGTTTTTGTACTGAAATAAAGCTTGAAAAACTAACTGAATCAAACATTAACTTAATCAGAAGTGCCAGCTTCTATGTGTCAAGGGTAAAAACCAAGCTTTTAAAGTCTTCAGTTATCAGTCTCAGATAAACTGGTTACCAATGCTAATCCATTTCAAGAACTTAAAGAAAAATCACTTGCCAGCAGCTCTAGTTTTCACAGTCCTCTTCTTCCCCATCCTGCAGATGAAACAAGTCCACTAAGCCATGTTACACATCCAGCTACGAGGGAGCAGTGGCACAGCTCTGAGTACGCCGTAGACACAAGACTGCCCTTTCATACAGTCAGCAGCTTCCTCAAATACTAATTAAGGTTTGTCACTCAAGACAGAATCAAAATAGCAGGGCGGTGAGAACCTTCATACCTAAAAAGGTTCCTTCAGAGTTGGGATAAAAATGCTGCAAGTGTGCACAGTGAGTAAAATAAGAGGTCACTTTTCCTCAGCCAGAAGTTACTGTTTCTCCACTTTCCCAAACAAGTCAGTCTCACACTACATGGCCCTATCATGCTGCTTCCAACAGGAGGCAGGCTGGGCTTTCACAACAGCAGTACTTCAATACTGGGGCACAAACTGCTGATTCAATCCAAACATGATGAAAATACATACATCTGGCAGCAGGTACCTCACTTGCTCCTCCCCAGAAGGAAGCAAGAGTTTCCAGCGAACAAGAGCCAAGCAGCAGGAACAGAAGGGCAACCTGCTCTCAAACACACTGCACCAGATTAACCTCACAGACACTGAACAAGCTTCCATGGAACTGCAGCTTAATATGTAAGAAAGTAAAACAAAAGCTACTCAAGCTTGTCAAAAATAAATTATTACCCTGTGACTAACTTACTGTAGTAAGCATTTTGCTGTTCTGTGCCAATCCTTCCACAAACCACTTTGGCAAGAAGATATCTGACAGAATTAATGAAAGGTAAGGTCTGACACAACAAAAGTCAACAGCACAGCCTTTAACAAATTCAAAATGAAATTAATGATCCCAAGGTGATGCAGGCCACAGCTAAGTGATCAAAGCCATGCACTGACAAGATTTTGAAGAATCTGAATTCATCAATGATGAATTCAGCTTTCCTGATCCAATCTCAGAGAAGTCTTCCTCCTGCATTTGAGAAAAATCAAATGCTGCACTGCCAAGAAATGACAGACATTACACACAACATCTCTGAGATGCTCACAGTAATACTCAGTCCTGAAGCAAGGATGTCATGTCCACATGTCCAACTAATCAGCAATGACAATCACCTCTGAACACAAAGCAACTTCACTCTGGAAACTCTTCACCAGCCAAACTGACTCATCAGCTATACAGCACAGTCCATCCTGGACATTTACAGGTGTATTCATCATCAAACATCGTTGGGTCAAACCACCTGCCAGGAGGATGACTCCCAGCCACACAGCATGCAATGCCATCACATGAACATGACTTCTGGATGTGATGGGGACAGTGTCAGAAGCAGGAAACTTCTCAACCTAAGAGATTAAATCCATCACAACAAAACCCAGGTGTCCACAGGGCAATTCTCTACTTGAGAAGTGGGTGTTATCAAGTAATAACTACAGAAATGTTGAGGCCTTCTCAAGGAGTGAACTCACATTTTATAAGGGGGAACACATTACATAGGCTAAGATTGCTGCAGAATTCTAAAGCACAACTTCCTGTGGAGTTTCACTGACCTGCTAAGCCTGGTTTGCTATTTGTAGGGCAGAAACAACAGCATCCAAATTACTAAAATCAGGGAAGCTGTGGGAACACAGTGCAAGTCCCACTGAGGAATGCAGAGCCCAGGACAACTGGGGAAGCAAGTGGAAAAGAGCATGGGGTACACACTGTTTTCATTTCAGCAGGGAAATGAGACACAGCTGGAGAATGAGCTTGTTCCTGGTAGCCACATCCCAGTCACAGACCTAAGGGAAAACCAGCACATGTCTCAAGTTGGCTTCTGCCCATCTGCTGCTCTGGTTTAAGGAATGGAGACTATGCTCAGAAAAAAAACAAGCCAAGGGATTTTGCTTTTTTAACCAAAATTTGGAACCCCGAATCCTGAAGTTCTTACTGTGGAATGCAAAAGCTTACTGTGACTCAGAAAGGACCTCAATTCTGAGCTTAATCTCCTGGGGATACTGAGTGTACACCTGGCTGCTACAGCACCAGCAGAAGAATGCAGACAGACCTATTAATAGTTGTTCTTAGCATCACATTTATGTATGACCTGAAGAAGTCATAGATACAAAGAACTAAGTCTAGACTTTACTAGGCGTGTGCAAGTAATCCAACAAATGGACAGTAAGGTCTAAAGCATCTAGCTGGAACAAGAAATGGAACATCTGTCTTTATAGGCAGTCTCAAGGGAGAAAGACTCTGAAACAAACTTATCCAAACTTAGCACTCCAGTCAAGCCAAATACCCGTGGGGCATGCTGCAGGGCAATATATGTAAAGAAAAAAAGTTCAACCACATTTTGTTTCTGGAGCATCTGCTGCAGACAAAACACTGTCCATCAGAAGAGGGCTGTGCTAAGAGCACATTGAGACATCTGATCTTTTGCTTGGAAGCTTCTCTCCTCCCATCACACACCTCCTCATGGAAGAGTAAGTTTAGGACAGGACAAGAAGTACTTTCAGATGGAAATACAGCATCCCATTTGTGAGCAGAGCAAGAGACTGCAAGGCACAAGCACATCTGATGCACAATAACTTTGAAGCCATTATTTCCTTGAGCATTTGTAGGGTAAATCAACCTTTTGGGGTTCAAGAAAGAAAAACCTAACTATTCAAACAAAGGAGGCTCAAACTCTGTGAGCTGTGTATTTCTCCAGTCAGAAACAAAGGAACGTGCAACAAAGGAACGTGCAACACTAAGCTGTAAGAGAGACCTCAGATTTGCATTTCTGTTCACCGTTTCAAATGGGAGAATTCTTGGCTCATTCACAACATTAGTCCTAAGCTCCTGAACTGTCAGATTACCAAGGATGAACCCAAACAATTCACAGCATTTTCAAGATTTTTATTTATTTTTTACAGTAAAGACGTCGATTTACAAAGGAATTTGGAGTACCAGTGCCTATCAGTTCTAACCAGCATGGACATCAAACAGATTTCCTTCTCCCTGACACAGCTGTGACAAGTCCTATACAGTCTGCTGTCAGTCACACTGTTTCAAACAGCTGTTTGTTCCTCACAACAATCTCCAACCAACCATGTCTAAGTCCATCTCACCTACCTGCATCTACCACACTACTTCCATCCTTTGGCTTTCATGATTGCCATCATTCTCCTTCATGCCCCTGATTTCACATCAAATACTCTACACTCAGTACTGCCAGTATTTCTCATTTCACCTCGAATTTCTAAGGAGATATTTATGTGGAAAACTCTTAACTACTTTGGGATTTTTGAAATGACTTTTTATTTTGCTTTTGTTTTTTGTTTTTTTTTTTTTTTAATTAAAATACTTAAAGTATTTCATTTCATCACTAAGACCACGTAAGGATCTTACAAGTAATCATTCATCTTTATTACCAGAGAGAAAAGCACTATTTGATGCACTGCTCCAGAGCGATGCAATTCCTGTTTGCTCTTCTAGAAACAGCACTGGATTGCCAAGCCTTTCAGCTCCCTATCCTGAAAGCATGCTTTTACAGCAATTTGTACAGATGTAGAGAAATATTTCTCCATTTCAATTCTTTGGAATAAGTTTTCCATTAAAATAAATAGAATAACAGTGAAAATAACCTACAGAAGATATTTTCACCTTTCAAAGGGCCTTAAAAGCATTGCTTCTCAAGCTGCTATAAAATTACCTGCATCTCACGGAAAAATGAAAGTAAGACTCTGGCCCTAAAAAACTACTACAGTGGTAAAATAATAGCCAGCACTGAGCTTTAAAGAATAAAAATAATATTAAATAAATACATATTTCCAAGGTTGAGCCCAAACCTTTCTTCTTTTCAGAACACGGTACTACAAGTTTCACAAGCACTTTTCATTCTTTATTCCTTAGCAGTAATGCGTTTCTTGTACCTTAAGAGACACAATGCAGTTTAGAGCTTCTTTTTTCCCCTCCTCCTTTTTAGCACCATGCCCCCCACTCACCCGTAACGGCATCATAGAACTCTTCTTCACTATTCATCCTTCAGCGTGAAATCTCCGTACAGCCAGCTCAGCTTCCTCTAATGCATCATTCAACTTGATTTACAGCTTAAGTGTCTGTACGCTTTTGAAGTCTTCTTTTGCAAATACCCAGCCGCTTTAGATGATCTATTTGACAAGACAGGGAAGAAGAATTAGCAAGTCCCATACTTCTGGCAAGCACAAACACACACACCTGACAAATACTCATTTTCCTATTTCTTCCCGTGACAAAAGAAAGCCTTGGATTCTTGCATTCATGAAACAGTCACTATGACTCTGAAGTCCTCTTAAGATCAGTGCTACCTACTACAAGAACAACCAACGTATTATGCCACACTTGTTCTCTCTATATAAAAACATTATGTACACTATTATAAAATACACTCTACTTACTGCAAGTTACATTTTAGACAATGACAGCAAGAAGGAGAAGGAAAAAAAAGACAGCTGCAAAACAGAAATCCCTCTCAGCTGAAAGATAAACCTTACTGCAATCTTAAACAAGAAAGCTGGGAACGAGTAATAGAACTTTACCTCATTGTTGCATAAAAATGTAGGGCCTTGCTGCACATTGTGCACTCAGCGACTACTAGGTAAGTTCTGTCAGGTACTGCTATGAACGTCTGAACACACAACAGGAGGTTGTGCTCTCTAATAGAAGATGTAAAGAACCAAAACTTTTTCTCACTAAAGCCAAACACACTACAAATCACTTACAGATTCATGAAGCATTCCAGCTCTGCTTTATGGACAGACTACATTAGATTTATTCCAGATGGTTGGCAGTGATGTAACATAAACATTTTACTTCACCCATCTTTAGTCAAAGCAAAACAATCAGAAAATTTCGATTCCACCCTTGCGAACGCTCACCAGGTACCAGTGCTGAGCCAGGCACACAGCAATGCTCCAGCTCCCCCAAAACAACCTCAATGTGTCAGCCTCAATTTTTTTCTGATCCTTGAAGATCCCACTGCTTTTGTGAGAGTGGCTTTTCCAGAGTAATTATAACTTGCACAGTTCCATTCCAATTAAGGGAAACAAAGCCAGAAGCACACTCTATTCCTAGTAGAGGAGCTTGCCATGTTTAGAGCCAGTTCCCTCTCTCCTCACTGCAAGACACCAAATTGCATGATGCCCCCTGAACTTCAACTCTTTTCACCTCAGTGCTCAGCACAAAGCTATGTGAACGCCTCACACACTGTCCTTCCAACTCTCTGTTCAGAAGGAGGAGCTGAAATGGCCTATTTTACAGCTCCTTGCAGTCAATGAACACAGTGTTTAAGCATCACACCTCTCAATGCCAGGTTCCTGACTGTCACCTTTTCCTTAGGAATAACCTATTTTGCCCACCACCACAAGATTTTAGATCAATCTCTGTATCATTAACATCTCAGCTTCCACATGATCTTCAGCAGCTTTTCCTTTACGAGGCCTCACCTCCACAAGGATAGAACTTCACACAGCTGCTTCTTTCATCTGTTGCTACACTCCTGTTGCAATTGCTTTCAGCTGAACAGTTTCCTTCCCTCTTCCTTGTGCTCCAGTCACAGACCTTTAAGCAATAAAGCTGAAAAAGGCTTATCAGCAACAGATTTCTGACTTAGGTTAGTCAAACTGTCTCAATCTACCAAGGAAGGATGCAAGAGCTCAAAATACCGACACACTACAGACAGGGATGAATGAAGACTTCCAGTGCAAGGCTACCAGTAAGTGTTCTGCTTGCAGAAGGGAAAGGAGCAGCAGCTTTGCTTCCAAAAGATGCAGTGCAGGCTGCTGGCAGAGAACCAGAGAAAGGCAGAAACCCTTTAGTAACTGGTTCAAAAGCAGCAGCTAGCCCAGATTTCAGGGTAAACTAAACAGGATGCTATGCTTCTTCTCTAAACAGCAGCAGAATTAATTACATTGCTCTAAATGTCTACTTCTAACACGAAACGTACTGCCACAGCTCACAGCAGACAGGCAGGGGAAGCTGTGCTCCAGCACAGGTCTGGCTGTTACGTGGCCCAGCAGAAGGCAGGCACTGACTGCAGGAGATGCTCACATTGAAGCTGCAGAGTCCCTGTGGGCTTTCCAGCCCCACCAATGAAGTATTTCTTCTAGGTCTCCAGCTCTATCATATCTCTGATGAAAACCTGTTCTTGAGGACGTAACTGTGTACACTTTTCAGCTTGGGAGGGAGGAGAAGAGGGAAAGCACTACTTTTCTTAAGATTCAACTGCCTACAAGTGCTGCTACCCTTCTGGAAAACCAGCAGCCAATATTTCCAGAAAGAGATGTGCATGTGCCCAGCATGCAGTTGTCTCAAGACAAACACTAAAATTCCTGAATCTTCTCCATGCATTCCCTCATGTCCCATCTCCCAGCCTTTGCTTTTCATCCAAGCTCTGTAGCAGGACTACCCTACCACTGCATACAGCTCACACAGTAGGATTCTGTTCCGAAGCAATTCTACCCACCTGCAACATACATAAGCCAGCTGCCAACCCACCTCTGTTTAATTATCACACCAAGAGCACACTCCCCCTATCCAAACACATCCTGGCAGGAATGCCAGCATGCCACAGTCCTCTAGAGGAGGCACTAAGGAATAAGAACTCTGACTTATTGATAATAAGGGCACTGACTACAAAACCAATGAAGCTTTTCCATGAAAACAACCACCAAATGTAAGTGTGGTGATTGCAGGGAAAGACCTGACTGAACCAGAAGCCCACATTACACTCTGTCCTTGTGATATGCACCTCACACCACACCCCAAGCTGATCCTTATTTGAGAATGAGGGTTTGGCCATACACTGTAAGTTACAGACAAGTACTGCAGCTGTCACCTAAAGAACAAAATATTCGTGGAAGTCACTTAAAGTAATAGTCACAAGTTGTTTTAAGGTGTTAGGAGAATTTTAGAAAGGATAAAGCGATGTATTTTGCACCAGAGTCGCACTAGGAATAACTTAGTGCTCACATTGCTTCTTTTAAATTCAGTTCTTCAACTTAGCAGAGATTAACATGAATTTGCACACACATGAACACAGGATGGTATCAGCATTTAGCTCCCATGAGTCAAAAAGCAAGGATTGCTAAAAACAACAGCAGAAAGTTACTCTCAACCCAGCTGAAGCACCAGCAGACAAAAACATCCTGCTTGCTTCATGTTCAGCATTTGTAATCTGTATTTCCTCCACACTGCTCATTTCCACTCCAGAAACTGCAGTTAGCAGCTTCCATCCAAACTGCAGCAGAGCTGTACAAGGAAAGGTGCCTCACTCCCACACAAGGAGACCCATCGAGGCTTAGGGCTGATTCCAATCCCAGCAAGTCTTTCATAAAGCATAAACATCATGTTCACCTTGTTAGTACTGAAGGCAGATGAAATACACAGCGTGTGCATATATATGAAACCAGAGGTGTGAGACCCACGGCCAGGTGAGATGCACTGCCTGCTCTCTGCCATTTGCATGCTACAAACCTACACTCCAGGGAAAGAAAAAAAACAACCACCACCAACCAAAAACCATCAGACCCACCAATGTCTGTCTCACTAAGATCTAAGATTCTGGATTCTAACCACTTGTACACAGATTAAGAGCAACAACAACAACAAACAAACAAACACACACAACAAAATACCAGGACCTGTCCAAAAATAAACCTGCAAGAGCTAAACATGCCATCATTTTGCTGATCTCACAGAACTAGTTACTCCATACTAACTCGTTCTTCTAGCTTAGTCTTCCACAAAGCCCCTGCTGGCTGACCAGGAGTTACTCCTCCTTAAAGAAACATTTACATTGCTGTAGGAAGTTGAGTTTCCACTGCTAGAGCAGCTCATGCTGCTGGAATGCTGCTCAGCAAGCACGAGGCTGGCTGGTGCAGGGCTGCACCTGAGCTGTCCTGCTCCTCCTGGCCTCACACTGAAGTCTCACATCGTGCAGCACTCCTGGAAAGCGAATGTGTTGCTGACACCATTCTGCTTTCTTTACAAATCCTGCTTTTTCTGTCCGACAGCACACGTTTAACACTGTGAGAAGCACAGCACCGGGACACAGCCATCACCCAGCCACCCCATCCACCACGAGAGCCAGGAGTGCTTAAGCAAAACCACATATGGAAACAGCAAGCAGTTCTGAAAACAAACCGAGGTTGGCCAGCGTGAGGCTGGGCGTTGAGAGTTCAGCCCACTGGCATTAGAGTGCCACCAAAGAATTAATGAAGCAGCACATTCACGAGTTTTTTCACATGTCTAGCAAGGTTTTGCTGGATGTGTGCTTCCGTAGCAAATTTTAAAAACAAATTAAGTTTATTAACTTGAAAGGAAAATACTTGTAAGCAATATGGGGAAAAAAAGTTAAAAAGAGTGAAAAAGGAAAAATCAAGCGAGGCTTTCATCACAAAAAGCAGTGACAATTTTCTATCAAGTCACAATAAAAACACCGCACAAATACTGCCAGAGGAGTGGAACAGAAGGGGCAAAAACCTGCGAGCTCTGAAAGGACCCTCTGTTTTCAGATGTTTGCATGTCTTTAATGGGTCAGAAGGACACAAACTCAACTTAATAGAAACCAGCTTAGTCAGAATGTAAAGTCAGCTTGGTACAAAGGAAAATTAATTCCATGGCCTGTTTAATCCACCTAACAACATATGTAAATAAAAAGCAGCATTTCCTGGGCTCGGGATGCAGCTTCTGTCCAGAAATGGGTTCCTAAGGAGCCACTGGCAGATCAAATACACACAGCCATCATACCGACGCTACAAACGAACAAACAAGCTCACAACCCTCCTAAAACATGACTGGTGAAGTAAGAGCTGAGCCCACCTCTTCTCAAGTTGCCAGCTGAAATGAAACATAGCTGCTGTACTTCAAGGGACAGAAATAAATAGCTTGAACCAGAAGATAAATATTCATGCACTTTTGCTCCGTATATATCTCCCGAAAGCATCAGACTGCAGTTGTTTCATCTCTGAATGAAAGCTTCAGCAAGGATGAATCTTAATTGACTCGTGAAATTAGGTTACCAACAACAGTGGATCTAAAACATCTACAAAAAATTGCCAAGAAGTCGTTTTAATTGGCAATTCAGATGCCTGCTGTAATTATTATGCACTTGAAATCTCTTCAAGCAGCAAACAGCTACACAGATAGCAGAATCCAGAAGTGGATTTTATTTACCAAGCTAGAATTGTTTTTTACTTCAATGTAATGCAATAGCAATTTCCACCAAGGGCTCCTGGCCTAACGAGACTCACCCAGCATCCTTGCTAAGAGGAGGGCAGCTTGCTTCTCAGCTTTGTGCAGTGCTGAGCAGAGGGGCTTGGGGTGAAGGAAAGCCTGGCCTGCTGCCACTGCACAGCTTCTTTGCAGACTGTGGGCCTTAATGCAGCTGGGAGCTATTAAATGCCCCGAGGACAGATGTGTACCTGCGCCAGCTCTGCTGGGATGGAGCTCATTTTGTTCGTAGCAGCCTTTATTGCGCTATGGTTTGGATCTGCTACTGGAATCTCCCTGCTGTGAGCATCTGCAGTTAGAGAAGAGGCTGGGAAGGAACACTGCTAACCCAAATTAATTCCATGCTCAGCTTTAATGAAGAATCCATGTTGCTATCTGCGTGGTGACGTTAACCCTTTTAGATAACAAGAAGGTTGCACAGCACTCAGAACTACCTTCAAGACAAAATAAAGCAGTGTGTATACAGTTATTTGTACCTCTAACTATAAATAACATATTTCTTTTACTATGAAGCATCTCTCAACAGCTTTATTGATGTTCTGCAAAGCCTAGCAAGCACATGCTCTAACAAATCTAACAAATAAGCACACTGCTGGGCTGACTGTAACATAGGGGTTGGTGAGCTAAGCTCTCAGTAGCCTTAACGCATGCAAGTTTTTTAATTGGGAGTTACTAAAAGGATTCTGGTTCTCACTTGGTTGCACTGGCACACTGCAGGGAGCAGAGCCCCTGCCACCTCACGGCCAGAGCACACACACATCCCAGGATTCACATGCTTGCCTTCGTTACACTTTCATACTATAATTAGTTCTGACCTATCACGAGTACCAAAGCACAATGTGCTATACTAACAGATTTTGGAAGCCCTAAAAACCAACTTAAGAGGATGCCAGTGAGCATGTAATGAAGTTACCAGTCCACAAGCATGCAACGCCTCAAAGCTTCACAACATCCCAACAGCCCTTATCTAAAGCTGACCAGCAGAGCAGAGAAACTGCACTGGGAAGGGAACTCCACAGCTCCAGGCTCACACTAAATCTGATGCTAAGCATGGATGTACACATCCAGCAGTTTGGGACCATAAGACCAAGAGGGCCGAGATTCAGAGGTTCAGATGCAGTTCTGCAGCTGCAGGAATAATTTGTCTCCTGTGCACACTCCTGTCAGATTTATAGATAATTACAGGAAGAAAACACTTTCCAGCCCCCTGCGTTTTCTGAATGGAGGGCAGCTGTAATTCACTGAAAATCTGTCTGATTCAATTATGTGCATAATAAGATGTACTGACAGAATCTGAAGGATCTGTCTAGACAAGCAAATGAATTTCCAATTGTAACTGTATATATTATAAAAAAGCAAATTTAAGCAAGCTTAGTCTATTCTTATATCTTATTGATCCTGAAAATTAAGACATCTTTGTGCACCGAGTCAACAATATGCTTGAGAAGAGTATAACCGAAAGCAACGCAAGTCACATCTGACACATTCTAATTGCTTACTCCTTCCATGCATGGAGGCTTTAAGACTGCAAAGTAAATAATTACATCATCATTCACTCTTTCACATAGTGCATTGTTAGGAAATAGAGGTTTCAGATCAAGTATTCTTAATTGCAGATTACATAGTAGTAGTCTATTCCATAAACTAAAAAACATAAATGAATCCTTATCACATGTAACCTCTATTTTTTGCAACAGGAAGCATATGAACATCGCCTTATCTTTCAAAGCAGCAGATAAACATTGCCCAACTTTCTCATGGGTCTCACTTCCCCATTTATTCAGCTAAAACATTCACACTGAGCACTCCATATTTAACACAAATTCTTTGTGGACTTGATTTTCTTCCCAAAAAAAACATTTTGGATATTTCACAGAAAACAGACTAACCAAG